ATGATGACTAATAAACTTTCATGAATAAAATTAAATTTTTTTAATGCAACAATAGTATCACAGTATATAAGACAAAATAAAACTAGAAGCGAAGTTTAATTGATATATAATACATGAAGTAGTATTGGAAAAAAAATATGCATCAGAACATCAAAAGTCTTGGAAATAGATAAATTGTATGAAAGCTTATAACTCAAACCCTGGTAGAAAAATATTTTTTTCGTCTTATTAAATGTAAATACATAACATAGAATAAATCCGTAAGATTACAGGAACATTAAAAATTGACCAATTTTTAGAAAATTCTTATGAAACTACATAAAAGATGTTATCACAAACAATATATATGCCAAAGTAGAAAAACGTCGCTCTACAAGCACGCAAATCATAATATCAAAACTAAATAATGCAAAACATAACTAAGGAATTATAGTGTTGTTATGGATTTTGATGCATACCCATGATATTTTAATAGAGTTGTTAAGTTGAACCCACTCATCTACGTTAAAACAAAGTGAACAAAATAAGAAAAAAAATGGAGGTTAATTAAAGTAAATAGCTTGACAGAGCGCAAAAAAAAAAAAAAACTCACTGACTTTTCTGAATTCAACTTTTCTATGCTTCATCACGATCACAACTATATAAAAAAAGAAGAAGCAGTCTGCTATCGATAGAGGGTTACCTGCCATGAAGGTATTTGCCGCCTGTTATACGTTTTTCATTTTTGGAGGAACCGGTGTTTTGAAGAACAAACATAAGCGTTTAGGTTATAGGTGTTTAATTTCCCCCTTTAAATTTCTTTTTTTTACCTATTTAAAGTTATATTCACGATTTTTTTGTCTTGTTGTTGCGACGACGTGGTGACATGTTTTCCATGATGCGGTGGGAGAGCTGGTCGCGACTATTTTGAGTAACCATGATGTGGTCAGTAGTTGGCCATAACATGGTGAACGTTGACCGTTGACTTTTGACCTGGTTGACTTCCGGTCGAATTGCTACTTTTAGATGGTAGACTAAGGTTTTGACATTGGGTGTTTCCTTAGGTTAAGTGTAGCACCAGTTTTGCAACTGTACGAGCTTTGGTATTTTTGACTTCGAGCGTGAGGTAAGTCTTCTCACTTGCGTATGATGCTAGATTATCTTTGTGACTCTTGCATGTATGTTGGCGGGGCCTGTTATATATATGGGTGGGGCCGTTATGCATGTTGGGCGAGGCCCGCTATGTGAGTTGGGTGGGCCCGTTACACTCTTGGGTGGGGCTTGTTATGTATGTTTGGCTGGGCCCATATGGTTATGTGGTATTTTGGGAAACTCACTAAGTTTTGTGTTTACGGTTTTATGTTTAATGGTTTCAGCTACTTCTGGTTCTAAAGGGAAGGGTCTGGTTGATTGCACTGCATCCCTTGGAGTTTTTACGCGCAATCTATTTTATAACTTTACTATGATGTTTTGAGAATACATTATACTCTAATTATCTTTTGAATGATTAAATGAATGGTTTTGGTTTTTGGGAAAATTAAAATTTTACCTTGTATTGTTGGGACATTACACTTGTTTGATGTCTTTGTACTTCTGACTTTAATGTTTGTTAATCTTATGTCTATTGATAAGCTATGCAAAGACAATAAGTGTATATAACGTCCGCAAGCTAGGGCTAGATGATTAAAGAATAAAAGAATAATTATTCGTCACAACAAGAAATAGATGTTTTCAAATAGAAGATTATTTAGGGAAAATAATCTAAACGAAAGCTATAGTAGTCGTTATACTGAGAGGTTGCATATGGAGAACGTTCAAATCTGACTTCATAAGAGGAAGTTATGATTTTTTGAAGTTTCATCACAATAGCGTGCGACACAAAAATAAAAAATAGAATCAGTTGATTGTTAGTCGAAACAATCTAAACGAGAGTTGATGATCTTGTAGATACAATTCCTTTCATTTAAGGACGGTTGGGAACGGATGTCGTATGGAAGAGTTATGATTTTTAAACGGACTTTAACAGTCTAAGCTTATAAAAATATAACTTTAAAAATAAATTGAGAATTAGCTGACGTAGTCTAAATGAAAGTTGTAGATCTCGTCGATAACTATGTGAGGATATAAAGAACGTCGAAAACGGAGCTCGTATAAAGAAGATATGATTTTTTGAAAGATTAGAAATTGGCATGTGCGCAAGGGGCGCGACGTGAAGCACGTTGCTAACATGGTGATGTGGACGAATCTGGACCTAACACATGGCAACAAGGGGGCAGGATCCACGTCGCTCGACATGCACGATGCGCCGCTTTTCTGCATGTGGCGCGCGCCTATCGAGCTATAAATGCCCCCTCAAATTTCTTCATTTCTTATCCCAAACTCTCTTATCTCTCTCGGAAAAATCTCTGGTTCTTAAGCTCCAACTTTTCCGGACTATAGAATCTTTTAGCTAGGCTCTGAGGTAGACAGAAGCTCGACTAGTAGTAACTCTCTGTCAGAGTTCTGCCAGTGTAATCTTCTAGTTTCCGCTAGAAAACCCTGTAAGTTAAGCTACATTTGTATTGCTTTTAGTGTAACTTATATTTATAATCATAATCATTATTATGAACCTATAATTAAGATTTATCGGCGATTCCAAGTCATTATATTAATTGATCTACTTAAGGGAGTGATGTCTAGACGAGATTTAGTGAGGTGTTTAAAGTGAGATTTCCAAACAATATACTTTGTATACCAAACGGACCCTACCTCCGAGATGATCCTACCTGGTTATTCCTTACTTAATAGATCTTGATGTAGACATTGAGATTGTTGAGGAATCTAGACTATCATTAGTCATGAGGAATATCATACTAAGACTTAGTAATAATCATACCTTGGTTACCTCAAGGGAAAATTCAAGGAGATAGGTGAAATGCTGCACAAATTTGCGGGGCATCCACTTTTAGCAGGTGAGTGCATAGTTGGTACTTTCAGCTTACACATAGATATAAAGTATCTATTAATTGCTATATGTGCTTACTATTTGTGTTCTTAATATTTGTGCTATGTGTAATAATATGATATGATTTTACTTATATAAATTACTTTATCATATTTTAATTTGCATTGGGTAGTAGAGCGGTTTAGGGAAAAAATAAAATAATGGGTTGGGTAGTGAAGGGTTTGGGGAAAATAATATAATGGTGAGAGGCTACACATTGAATTACCGAGACCAGTCCTCTAACAATGTATATATGATGACCACTGACTATTCTAGATCATCTGGTGGAACACTAGCAGACGGTGTTAATGATCATACTTTTTTAGGGAAAATGAAAGTTGTTCATTCGGGTACTCTATCCCCCCCAGGGTTTCCTTATTGACGCATATTGCTATGGATTCCCCGAAGTAGTAATGTATACTCATAGAGATCCTTAGGGTAGGTCTCTTGGGTTTAGCCTTTTAGGATCAGATAATGAGAATAACGAGAATGGGTAATCGAGTTAATTGTTTGTTGAGGAAAATAAATAATACTATTGTGGGTTGAAAATCTTATATACTCACCAGACTCCATAGCCTGAACCACTCAATTTGTTTGTATCACATGTAGCGGTACGAAGATACAATCGAATGAGAGATTCAAGGAGTTTAGGACATTAGTACAATAAGTTAATATAAGACCTGCAATGACTATGTTTATGATTATGTTTTGTATCAGTTATGACATCCTAAGTTTTAATAATCAATGGAAAACATTTCTTCAGAAATACTTTTTATGGGACAAATTACACAGTACTCTGTTTTTAAAATAAACATAAATAAAAAGGTCTTCTCGGACCTTGAAAATTGAGGATGTCACAGCGTAGCTATGCGAAGACAATAAGCGTATGGTTGTATTAAAAACTTATAAAACTAATTCACATAATATTAAAATTATACAAAACTAATTCTCAAACAAATTAAAAACATACAAACATATTTTAGCACAAGCTTTTATGCATGAAGTACATGCAAGTAAAGCATAGAGAGAGTCTTGAGAGAGACAGTCGGCAAGTAAATTAACCCGATATTCTCCCTTCCGTGGTACCTAGTCTTGCTCGAGGTCGGCATCTAGGTAGTACCGACGGTAACGCCAGCCTCCTCCTCCAGCCCGAAAACCACCTTATAATTATTAACTACTTTGGTTATTTTTTTTTTCACATATTTTTCATTGAGGAAAAGCTAAGGCTTGCACCACAATCAAAAATACAGTTTCCAATCTTTTTTTTTAAATATATGTAATGTTTGGTTATTGGGTCACCTATTAATGATAAACAATAAAATAAGCTAAAGCAAGCACTAAATGTCAATTCTCATGATGTGGTAAAAAAATTTAATCAACGATGAGGTAAAAAAAAATTAATTATAATTTAGTAGTGTTATATTGTTTATTGGTTATTAAGTTATTAATATTAGTTTTCTACTGAATATTTTTATAAATGTCAAAATATAAACTGTATTAAAGAAAAACCAAAAATAATTAAAATACTTAAGATGTTATTTTTAGTAATTTCGTAAGTATAAAAATACAACTTACTGTTTATTAAGTGCAGATACTAATACGCTAATTTAAATATATATATTTTTAATTTATTTTGACAACGAATAAAGTAATAGATATTTAATTAAAAAAAAAAAAAACAGTTTTAAATAAGCAAAATCCCAAAGGCGCCCGCTAGATATCCTATTGAAAATCTTTCGTGGTGTCGAGATAAGAAAGATTGTGTATGGAAAAAGTGCGTACAATTTTTATACATCTTAAAGATAATCAATAAATAACAATACATAGTAAAGATAGATCATTTTTAGAAGTAAGTACGTTTATTTGGGAGGAGGTAAAATTAAATATTTTCAGCTACATTTCTTGGGTTAATCACTCTTAGTGATTAACATTAAACGATGAGAAAAGATTATGAAAATAATATACCTCCCAACCACTCTATGCTATACAACACATACCTAATTATAAAATTCTAAAAATACCTAACCCAATCAAATTATTAAACTAAATCATCCCCTAAACCCATAGATTCTTCTTCCTTGTTTGCAGCTTTGATTAACATATACTTTTCCTCCTTACTTTCTTCGCTGTCAGCATCATCGTTAACAAAATCGTCGCCGCCGCCACACTGTGTTAGCTCTTTCGCTCTAATAGCTTCCACCTCCCAATCCGTCCGCCCCAACACCACCAACATCGTCAGCACACAAGACATCTGCGCCGCCAGCATGCCCAACCACAGCCCTTCAAAATCAAACCCCATATAGAACCCCAACGTCACTGCCACCGGCATTCCAACCAGGTAAAAACATCCCAGATTAATATTAGCTCCGATGCTCGGCCGCGCTGTCCCTCTCAAAACGCCGCACCCCGTCGTCTGCGGGCAGTTTCCGAGCTCGCATAAACCAATGATCGGCAAAACCAACGACGTCAAAGCTATGATTTCTTTATCTTGAGTGAACATCACCGCCCATAAATCTTTTACCCCGGCGGCGAAAAACAGAGCAGAGAAACCCAAAACGAAGCTACAACACACTCCAACAATGGCTACTAGCTTAGCGTTACCTGGTCGACCCGCTCCTAGCTCGTTACCAACCCGAGTTGACACACTGAAGCTCAAAGACGACGGGAATATATAAATTAACGCGGTGGTTTGAATCAATATCCCCATTGAAGCCACGGTGGCTCTCGGGTTTACCAGTAACCCACATAGCAAAATCATGATCTCATACCACCACCATTCCAGACAAACCGAAATGCAGCTTGGAACCGCCAAATTCAAAAGCGAATTCCATCCTTTCAAACATTCTCTCGAAACACCTCCCCATGTTTTCTTGTAAACTCCAGAAATCAATATGTAAATGATCAATGAAGCTACCAAGTTGAAATTCGTCCATACGCTGCTTAGCGCCACACCTTTAATCCCCAATCCGAGCTTCGTAACAAGGAGATAATTGATGGGTATGTGAAGAACGATCGAAAGAAACGCACATAATGTTAGAGGCAAAGTTATGGACTGCGAACGAAGGTAAATTCGTAATGGGTGTAAGAAAGATTGAGCAAAGAGGTCAGGGAGGGAATAAAGAAGATAAGTCTGTGCCATTGTTGCGATTTCTTGATCTTGCCCACAAAAAAGCAAGATTCTTTTCATGTTAATCCATAAAAGGGATATCGGAAATGAGGTCAAAAGTAAAAGAAGAATGGTTTTCTGTAAACAGAGGCCAAGGCGTGTGTGTTTTCCGGCACCAAAAGCTTGGCCACAAATGGGTTCCATTCCCATGGAGAGGCCGGAAAGAATTGAGTATCCAGTGATGTTCGCAAAGCCAATGGCGAGTGAACCTCCGGCGAGTGAAAGCTCACCGAGGTGACCAAGGAAGAGCATGGAGATCATGGAGCGTGAATACAGTAACATTCCCGTGAGGACCATCGGAATCGCGATTCGGGCTATGCCAATGGCTTCCTTGATGGCTAAAGAGAGATGAGATTTGTGGGGCTTGACATCAGGTGTTGTTTGCTTATTTTTGGGGATCAAAGGACCGAAGATATCGGGCTGTTTTTGGGTTGAACTGCATTTGACGTAGGGAGATGGAGGTGAGGAAGTTTGTTGGCACATGTTTTGCAAGATTGAAGACTCTGTCTTTTATCCTTTTTTTGTTTGTGTTTGTGAAAGGGGGGAATTGCAGGGGTTTAAGTGTAGGAGTTGTGGGTATTTAAAGGGGCCAAAGGAAGGCTCTCACTCCTGATTGGTTTTTGTCTACATCTACATGTATGCCAATCATGATTTTTAAACGAACTTTAATTTCAATATATTTTCTACTTTACATGCATATTACATTATATATTATTATATATAGGTATTCATGTATCTACAATAACAATATTATTATTATAATCTCAATAAGATACCTAGGATTATGTCTGTTACTTTCTCCATCTAAAATTAATTACAAAATAAATTTGATGTTAGGGTGGTGGGTATCTTTTCTTTATTTTCCACTTTTTTTAACATTAACATGAAATTAGCTTTTTTATCTTTATTTTTTATTTCATAAGGATGCAAAATACGTAGTGGTGATGTGGCCGTGTGCACCACCTCTTATGGTATGGTGTTGGTGTTTCCAACGTCGGTGTGGTCATGCATGGCCTCAACCACCACTAACCATGGCCTCTCTCTCTCTCTCTCTCTCGTTTGTAATATCTTGATGACGATGAATACATCCCCCCTCTTGTTTATGGTCCGGGAAAGTTGATGTGAAAGAAGTACCATTATTGGAAATATTGTCTAAAGTCATTAACTAGTTCATAATCTTTCTAAATAATAATATGGTTTTTTTGGGTTGGCTTCATGACACAAATAACAATAAGGAAATAAAGAAAAATAAGTTTTAAATATATTTAAAAAAATTAATAAATTAATTAGAAAATATTTTGGTAATTAATTAAATAATTTTAATTAATTAAATGAGTTGAATATTAATAAATCATTGAGATTAATTGGAATATTCTACAACCATCCAGAGAAAGGTGGTGGATGAATTTCTGCTTATCTTGATAAGGATAATGCATGCTTTGAATATGATAATGATTATCCTTTAGGAATTTGAATTATTTAAGGATTAATTTGATGTATGTAAATAGGATGTTAGGGATCAACCCCTAGATGATGATTCCCTCATAATTTCATTCACCCCTTTCTCTGTAACACCGTAAGTTTTCGAACAAATTTTTTTCATTTTAAATTACAAAAATTCTCATAATACATTTCATAAAAATCCCAATTATCAAATTAAAAAAAACACAGTTCCATAATTGTTTGATTAATGATCCAGGATCCTCAAAAAGATAACACTTTATCTCGTGTGTACAATCGAGCTGTCGCCTTCCCGTGATCCTGAGAAGTACCTGAAATACATAACACATAACACGGTAATCACGAAGCTTAGTGAGTTCCCCAAAATACCACACACAAGTCATTAGCCACTCTAGGCTATAACTCTGTAAGTCCCTCCGGTCAATGTGTCTCAGTGGGACCCTCCAGTCCCACAGCTCGTTGGACCCACTGGTCTGGTCTAGGTGAGAACCCTCCGGTCTCAATGCTCGTTGGACCCTCCGGTCTGGTCTAAGTGAGGACCCTCCGGTCTCATAATTCGTTGGACCTACTGGTCCGGTCTAGGTGAGAACCCTCCGGTCTCACTGCTCGTTGGACCCTCCGGTCCGGTCTAAGTGAGGACACTCCGGTCTCATAATTCGTTGGACCCATTGTTCCGGTCTAACTATCACATAATATAGCACACAACACATATCACATAGAAAATGTACAACTCAAGCAAGCACATAAGACCCTCTGGTCACACATAACTACCACTCTAGGTAAAGTATAATGAGAAGACTCACCTTGGATGGCGAACAGATCCTATAAATGCTGCTGCTACACTCCGGCTTCTATCACTAAGCCAAACCCACAAATAACCCCATTAGGATCTGAGACCAACCTTCACATATTATGTATAAACATGGTCCACCAACCTGGCCCATAAATAACTCAAGTCCATTGGGCCCACCAAGGCCCAACCATGGCCCAATTTTTCCAAATTGGGCCCAAACCCTCATATGGGCCTTACCCTAAAGCCCATCTAAATATTCTAGTCCACATGACTGCTCTTTGATGGCCCATCAATGGCCCAAACACCAAAGTCCAATAGGAAGGCCCAATTCAAGGCCCACGCCAAAATTAGGGTTTTCACATAAAATGACGATTAGGGTTAAGTGTTTCTCACTTAACCCATTAAGGACTTAACCCATTAAGTCCATCACTCCACTAGGTCATTCATACAATGAAGTCGGATATAATTCACAATGTCAATCCAACAGTCTAACCGCGGGTCCCGGTAAAATCCAAACTGACAAACCCAAAAATTAGGGTTTTCCAAACCCTAATTAGGGTTTCTAGCCCAATCACCATCCAACTAGTCCAAATCACGCATTTGGGCCGATTAGGGTTCACTATGCCAAGCACCACCCACTACCACCTCAGGCAGTGGTGGTTAGTGGCGGCTCACGGCGGCGGACACCACGTCACGACGGTGGTGGTCAAGATTTTAGGCCAAAAATAATACAAAAGTACTTCAAACACCGATCCATATATACCCACAAACACACAGCCACCGGAGATGGTGGTTGGTGGCGACAAGGAAGTGGCAGCCACCACCTCACGATGGTGGTGGTGGTTTTCCGGCCACACAATCACCAATACAGCCCCAAGATGGCCAAGGCACCAACTACTCTCAATTTCACGTTCATACAAACACCAACAGCCACATCCCACGGTGGCTGGTGGTGGTGAAACACGGCAGCAAGCAGCAATAATAAAAGAAGAGCGGCAGCGAACCATATTGGACACCGAACCTAAGAAGAGGAACGAAGGGAAATGAGGTGTAGTGCCTTACCGAGAATCTTCCAATCACGCCGGGCCCACGCAGTGACGAACGCGGCTGTAGCCGCCGGTCTCGGTGACTCCTCTGGTTCCCTTACGTCTCCGGCAGCAGTAAGGAGGTGGTGCTCGTCGGCGCTTCAACGCCGAGGCAGCAGCGGCGGTCCTGGAGTTTCTCTCGGTGGCGGCTGAAGAGAGTTTACGTGATGGTGGCGGCGACTTCAGCTATTAGATTTAGGGTTATCTCAATAGAACAGGACGTGGGGAAGGGATACGGGTTAGTCCCGTATCTCATTTCAAACTTTGTACCAATTCTCCAAATTTGGTCCCTCCTCCTCAAAACATTTTCAACTTAGTGCCATATTTACCAATCAACCCCCCTGTCTTTAATAATTCATAACAATACAAGTCCAAACAATTACCAATTAGCCCCCACCTCTAAAAATATTTACAAAGTGGCCCGGAATTTACACTTTAACCCTCAAAATCCATAATTAAAACAATTTGCTTCCTAACACCAACACCCCGTTCAATATTGTTTAATTCAGGACTATAATCCATTTATAAATATTTATCTACTTATTTAATCAATAAACGGGATGTTACAATTCTCCCCCACTTAAATTAGATTTCGTCCTCGAAATCATTCCTCACCCTCTCTTACATGCCTGCCGACTTGAACGACATGCCCACAAGCCCGGGCATAACTCTATTCGTTCAATCCAGCAAAGTTATCTCAGCCAACCCTATGTACATGCAACTGCTAAGTTCACTTTACTCCAAGATATACTACATCCGATCTGTAGTGACACATCATTACGACCTCTGTCGTCTAACACTTACTAACCTTATGTGTGATGCGGTCCTTCTCAAGCCAAACGAACCGACCCTCCCAGGTCTAGAACATCAATTGGAAATCCATCAGGGATCCGAGATCTCAAATCATCTATCCTCTACACAGATAGGGCCATCTCACACTCGAGAGTCCGGTCCAACAACAGAATTGGAACAACTCATCTCCAATCTGATACTCAACTCACGACCCGTGAATCCGCAAATTTACGCGTACATTACTCCCCCAATTCCTCCTGATTTACAACAACCTCTTCCCAATTCGAAATTTAACGGATCCCAACCATCATGGAGACCCCCGTCTCTCCCCTGGCCCAGCCACCGAGTTCCCAAAGACTCATTTGTCAAGGCTACCTAAACCTAAGAACTCCTATGTGTCATGCTCTGACTAGTGAATACCACGGCTCCTCGCAGTGTTATAACACTCTCTTACTGACTAACCAGTGAATACTACGGCTCCCTGTAGTATCACGACACCCTCTCGCTGACTAGTGAGTACTACGCTCCCTGCAGTATCACAACACCCTATCTCTGACTAGTGAGTACTACGGCTCCCCGCAGAATCACAACACCCTCTCTCTGACTAGTGAGTACTACGGCTCCCCGCAGTATCACAACACCCTCTCCCTGACTAGTGAGTACTACGGCTCCCAGCAGTATCACAACACCCTCTCACTGACTAGTGAATACTATGGCTCCCCGCAGTATCACAACACCCTCTCTCTGACTAGTGAGTACTACGGCTCCCCGCAGTATCACAACACCCTCTCACTGACTAGTAAGTACTACGGCTCCCCGCAGTATCACAACACTCTCTCTCTTCTCCCCACAATCTCATCCTCAGGTCATTACCTCACTGCGTTCTCTAAATCACGCTTCGCATTCCAACATAGATAGGTGCACACACCCACCCAGGCTAAGCATCACTACTCCTGACGACCGCTGTCGACAAAAATGCTTTTTCTCACTTCAATTCGCATCCACATATAATCCCGCTTGATGTCAATTAGCTGAAAGGCTCCCACCGGAACCATAGACACCTTATACACCACTCGCCATCTCATAACTCAAGTCTCAAAATGATCCAAAATTTAGGATATCATACTCGGATATCTCGGTACATCATCACAGAATCTCATGATGTCTTGCCTCAACCACTAATCCGCCACCCATGGCATTAATACTCGGATACCGCAATGTATCCATCCAGAATCTAACAATATCTCGGATCCAACACCGACCTTCCTCTCGCAGAACTCGTAACTTCGGGTTATTCCGACTCTCAATTGAAACACGGAGGAATCGTCAACGACTCAGAAAATGTTGACGAC